AACTTGGAAATTTTGCAAATTATATGTTAAGCGTCCGGTTCGACCGGGCAAACGCCTGTATCTAGGTTAACCCAGTTTTCACTGAGCGGGGTTTGATCTTCGTTCCTCTGCGTGGCAGTTGCATGTGTTGCCAACTCTGCCATGCACATGGCAATATGAAAACATTCTTACACCTGAATGGCTTGGATTTATTTTATGCAATAAGTGCTAGCACTATTGGTATACAGTAGTAGCAAGTAGCCGAAAGACTTCACTTGAATTTTTATAACTGCAAGCAAGGCCAACCTACAGCTACCATTGTGTCGTTCGTCGAGGTAAAAGCAGCTCAGTTAACCTTTAAATGCAGAAGCGAAGTAGCTATGGTATATAATGGCATGTGCACCAGAAATAAGCATCCTTTTGACACTGGAAGAGGATTTTGAAAAGTATATTGGGCATTGATTAAAAAACCAGTGCCAATTATGGAAAGGATGGTGCAACAAATATTATTCTTGACTCAACTTTGACGTGTCGGAGATCAGGGAGAGCGTCCAAGATTCAGTAAAGTAAGAAGTCTAACGGGCACTGAAGACACCACAGATGTCCATAGAGCAGTGGTTCTCAACCATCAATGTTTTGCGGACCCCTTGTGGATCGGCGGAAATGATGGAGGACCCCGTTCGGGGTGAGGGGAGGGGGAAGGAATAGGTTAAATATAATAATAATTGAATCAATGGACTTTAAAAGGGATACTGAATCGAAACTTAAAATACACAGGAAACACCTAGAGATAAGTCATATGGAATCAGATTAACCTGTAATTGATAATCGCATAGTCATATTTCAAGCGGATGGCTGTATTTTTCGTTCGAAATGCCTGGATTTCGGCGAGCGCTTCAAAATCAGCTGTCGAAGAGCACGATGCATCTCGGGAGATCCGGCGCGGTCTAGACGTCATCATGCCTCGGAGGGCCAAGCGTACTGTAGTTACGAGTCTTGCCACTTGGTGGCGTCAGCGTGTTACAATCTCGCACAGTCGAAGTACCCGAGGGCTGTAGTAGCATATTGCGGAGCTGGCGGAGCGGCTTCGAGTGAAATGGTCGCCGACCAACGCGACAAGAGTGGTGGGTAGATGACATTAATAAGGACGAAGATGCCGCCACGCCGCTACATCACCAGGCCATGATGGCCGAGTCGTATTTGTACGACACGTCTGTCTTGTCTTAGTCGTCCGCAACAGGTAGCAGAGCTTATTCACAAAACAATCTTGCAGCAAAACCTAAGAAAAGTGCCGTATTCACGAAGCGAAATTATCGCAAGTTTTTCGCACGATGAGATCCTACGACCACGCCTACGACAGCTACATAGCTTTACGCACTTTTTATGATCAAATTTACATCGCCGGCTACATCGCTCGCTTACGTCGTCGCGACGACCAACGTGTATTTCTATGTGCTCTCTGTGCACGTTCCAGCGAAAGAAAAGAAGAAAAAAAAAAGTAATTGAAACTGAACGCCGCGGCGGAGACAAACACTAGAACCACGGATACCTGAAAAAGCTGCAACAACAAGGACCCACCGACCAAGCGACCACCACAGACGCTAGGCTTAGCAAAACACTTTGACGATCCGGGGCAGGACCATCTGCACACGATCGGCTGGCTTGATGAATGGAATACGCCCACGCGACCTCTGCGGACCCTCCTCGAATGAATAGTTTGAACCTTTAATTTGGGGTAAGAAGGCCAGTTTTTCCCCTCATCGTACCTAGCTTGTTTTCAGATGCAGCGGTGACGAACGATCTCGTCGAGGAGGGACACTCTCCTCGATTCAATCTCCTTTTTTTTTGTGTGTGTTATAGAGCTCAAATAAATGCCGTATGAATTGCCTTCGCACCTTGGATACATACACTTTTTTTAGATGTCCATTTCATTTCGACATGATACGTTAGAGGAGTTTTTGGGAGCGACTCAATGCCGGTCCAGTTTTTCTCTGCCGAGCGTCTCGTCAGCATCGAGTTGCGATTGTCTAGAGGCCCAGCGGTTCATAAAATCGGTTGTAAAAGACCGTTCCCGAAGCGGTTACCAAGAATGCAATGCCAGTGCGGTTCTGCTCCCAGTGCGAACAGGTATTTACGTGGATCTTGCTGACACTCTTTTACTTCAAACGTATCTTCCTGGACGTTGGCTCCCCCTCCCGCATCCCCAAAAAGCGCCGCAGGGATTTGTTTACATGCGCGCTGCTTTGCAGAGCCGTACGGGCCGCTTTCTTGGCAACGGTGGTAGTTGTGTATACTTCTTAGCGATCGAGTTCGTTATCAGTTGCGGTCAACGACGGCGGCTATCTCGTAATCAGGAAAGTTGGGCATGCGGGCCCGTTTAAACAGACATTTTGTAGCGTGAATATTGCATCGCACGAACACAATCTCCAAACCACCCCAAAGAAGCGTTGCCGGAAAGACCACCCAGTACTAAAACGAACGGTGGCCAACTCTGCTGTTGCTTTCTTCACCAAAGCGCCTCGGTACTACGTTCAGGCCTCAGAAATGCCTATGAGTGTCCGTACTTCCCGTTGTGGCGCTGCTCTTACGGGCATGTTGTCGTCACGACATTCCATCAAAGCTTCACAGACATCCACGAGGTGGTTTTTGGTTATCGATTTATTCAGTTTAAAATTCGTTTTCTCGCGTTATCCTACGGAATATTGGTATTGGTGAAGTCCTATTTTAACCCTCTTTATGTTCAAGCAAAGAGATGGGCTCTAAAATTTGGTTTCCGTACCCCTTTAAGTAAGGGCTAGTGTAAAGTAGACCTTTCTTATTGACATGCACACGAGGAAGCTCACCCAAAAACTGAAACATTTCTTCTCGACCTGGAAAAGAAACTTTTATTGCCGGGCTTGACTAATGAACGCAAACCCCTAGAATGCCCTCGCGAACCCTGAAGGGTCCGCAGACCCCCATTTGAGAACCACTGGCATAGATCATTGACGCGTGGACAGAGGATCAAAGGGAAATTCTCAAAGTATTTCATATGGATAAGAATTGGCTCATCTAGAGCAAGGTTCTATTCACCACTGATTTTTTTATTAAAAGGAAAAAAGTGGAAGGAATTTTAACAAAGTCGCCTTGATGAGCATCCTTCAAGAAACTTTCATGACGAATTGAGGTACCAACCATGTCAACGATATAGGGATATTCACAATACTCAGTTGTGCTGCCCATCTGTTTCAAAACAGATTGTCTTCACTCATTTGGGTTGGGGTCCATGGAAAATAAGGTGCCAAACCTGAAAGAAACAATTGTACCTTACGACTCTTTTGTGGCAAGCAGGCCTGCCACGTTCTCTGGGCAAGACCTTCAACAAAGACTACGAGAGAAGGTGAAAGTCAAAATTCGCAACCATGTATTAATTTTGTGGTTGGCACAAAGGCATCTTAGCAATATTCAATCAAAGGAGCAAAACATCTGGAAGCCATACTCAAGAATTATGGATTGCACATTATTTTAATATTCTTTTACCACAGTCTCATCAATGTCACATGCTTTCTAAGGCAGACTGACATGAACTCCTTCAGAAGTCTGAAGATGAGCTACAATTGGATGTGGGTTTGGCCAGCCAAGGTTCAGGATTTCCTGGATGAAGGAAGTGATGCAACCAAGGATGATGACGGATGATGTACCACAGCGGTCTGATGTCTGCCAAAGGATCTGACAAGCTTCATCTATATTTCAAATGTCTGAAAGTGAAATCCTCTGAAAGAGCCGTCGGTAAGCTCCGAGGCTTTTCACGACTCCTAAAGCGCATTCCTGGTGTGCTTGCCACCAGCACTTTCACTGGGCTTATGCAAAGAGATATTATTTTTGCCCTCTTCTACCACAGTCCCATGGAGGACGGGTGTTTTGACATAAATAAATAAATAAATTAGTTTCTCAGGTACCTGTCACTCAGGAAGGAAGAACCTGTGATCAGCCATGACCTGGGATGGTAGTCTCTTGTATAAAGATATCTGCAGTTTCAGACTGGTGTGTTTAAATATGAATGTTTGTCAAGTGATGATAATGTTATTTATCTGACTTGCATGGGGCTTGCTTATTTTTCTGACTCAGTCTCGAGGGGCCAATACGTCCTGAGTCATAATATTGGGACTGTTTTTTTATGGGTGTTTTATTGTTTAATATTGCTTCTCACATTTGTAAAAAGCAAAAAAGCCCTTTTAATATTGTTTCTCAACGACTTTAGCGAATGTATTCAATGTGTATACGGTTTACATGCTTTCTGCGAGAACTTGTGATTCACTCTTATATGAGGTTCTTTTCAAAATCCTTAGCTGTAATGTTTTATCTCGAGCAAAAACCAGGTGATTCTTCAATTGACGCTAAAACTAATTGAGTGCATGCTTTTTTTTCCCGCTTATTTGGTTGCGTATTTCGCCTATATGTAACTTCAAACATAAAATGAGTGTAATTGTGTTTGCATTTCTGCAATTAACAATTGTAGCAGTGGCAAGCAAGTCTGCCATAACCAAACCTTGGGATGTAGTTTTGTAACCTAGATATGACCAGGCCGGACAGGGAAGAAATCTGTCTGGTGGTATGGGCTACTAGGGATAGGAGTTGCTTGTTTCCAAGTTGCCCATGAGATGGTATTGGTATGATTAGTAACACATGCCTCATTGGTGACGGCCCATTGCCCACCTTATCTTGCTGAGCTTGTTCCGCGCAACACCGACACCTGCGCATTTCAAGCTAGCACCCTGAAGCTACTGTGAAAAACCCGCACGAGTGTGCTGATTTTGCTGAAGAAGGCTGGATCCAGTTGGGGCTGATCTAATAACACTAAGCTCTTGCAGGTTGCAAAATACCGACAGAAACGACAACGGCGACTCTACCGGGAGCGGCACCACCTTTGGTGTCGATAGAAGTTCTCTCAGGTCGTCGATATTCCCAGAGATAGTCAAATGCTAGGGGAATTATGGCAGAGTTGGCAAGGCTGGTTTTCTCAAGCAGTGCTCTCTTTGCAGGGATTCAAATGCTGCGGAGGAAGGCAAGTCCCACGACGACTACATCAGAGGTGAAGTGCATAATTCTTTTCCTTTTCCCATTCAAGCCAGTTCAGAGGCCAGAAGGGTATAGTGGAATGCGTGTACCACAGCCATTGTATAAGCTACTCTCTGAGCATTGGCTCTTCATTCTTAAGTGGTCTCGTAAAAGCCACTACAGTGGAATTTTGTTAATTTGAACCTAAGGGGACCCAAAACTTTGTTTGAATAATGCAAAGTGTGAATTATCGGGGTTTCTTTCCTAGAAACATGGGCTGACCTGCAAGTTAGTTTGAATTATCTGCGAGTTTGAATTAACGAAATTCCACTGTACCATATCTGGGTACTTGGTGCAGAGTGGGTGCAGTTAGCAAATATTATGATTTGAAAATGTGACTAGGAGCTTTCGATACAATGTCGGAAAGCTCGGACGATATTGTTCCACTCTGTCACTGTCTGTTATGACATTTCTTGAGGATGGAAACGTGCTTCCCACAATTAAGATAAAGCTTCAGATAGCCTTCGACCATGATCAAGACGGCTGAAGTGTTGTTACGTTGAAGTGCAGCTTACTTGGTTGCTCCAGTGCATATGTTCAGCATAAGCACAGACTACCGTATTTATTCGAATATAAGGCGGTCACGATTATAAGGCGAGGGGGCAGTTGAAGGACCCAAGAAAAAAAATCGTCCTATTGCTGTACTGAGCTTCGAATATAAGGCGGGGTATGACTTTGAGACTAAGGGTTTTGGAAAAAACCTCGCCTTATATTCAAATAAATACGGTAAGTTTTTGCCGTTGCAATAAATGGGAGTATCCGGTCTCGCCTGGACTGACCTGTGCCAGAGTTCATACTTTGCGCTTGACCAGTACTCTGAACTTAGTGGGCAAACATTAAGATGGACTTAATAATAATAATAATGGTACCTTCAGCAAAAACAATGTTGAAAAAGTGACATGGGAAAAAAAGCTGTAAAAACAGCTTGACGAGCCACTTAAACCAACAGTCGCGATGCAGGCAGCAAAGAAATTATACAAAAATAAAACATGACATGTGTACTACATGTTTGAGAAACTTGACAAAAACTAACTAATGCTATACAAGATAAGTAGCATATTGATGCAATTTACACAATAGTGAAAACATGCACAGAAAGTTAGAGCATCACTGAAATAAATGCAGAAGAAAACATTGATTCAAGAGATTTTAGAGCTTATTGTGGACAATTTGGCTCGAAATAAACATTTGAAATAAACATTTCCCGTAAGACGCCCACTAATATATAGCTAAGCTCAATTCCTTGCCTAGTAAGCTGGTTAAGGGTAGTCGGCAAAGTATATTTTAAACTTTGGTGGCTGTAGTTTGTTCTAAAAAAGGGTACTTCCCAAGGTTCTTTAATTCGTGTTGGGTATCTATGAATTTTATCTGTTAGCTTCGCTAAGTTTTCAAGGTGATATTGGGATAAATTTGTTTCTATTTTATACCTTGCACATAAACCATATTTATATAAATCTAAAATTTTCATCGCACCAATTTTACTAAAAAGATCGTCAGTTGGATGTTCTAGTGGCACATTAGAGATACTTCTTAATATCTTCTTTTGTAACATAAAGATTTTTTGGAGGTTGGTATAGGTAGTAGTGCCCCATATGAGTTGACCATAATTTAAATGTGAAAAAAATAATGAATTATATAATATTAACTTTGTTCTGAGTGGTAGAATGTGTTTATGACGATATAGCATACCGACAATGCTAGCTAATTTTGATATGATATGATTAATATGATCGTCCCATGACAAGTTTTCTTGAAAAATAACGCCCAAAGTTTTAAACGTGGGAACAATTTCTATTTGAGAATTTATAAAAATATTCTTGGTAATATTAATAGTATGTTTATTCTTAGGTTGGAATATAACTGCATTTGGGTCTTAACTGCGTTTATTTTAATGCAGTATGTCTCCTCCATCTATTAAGATTTTCTAGCGCTTAGTTCGCATTATCAATAAGCTTCGACGACGTGTCATCACCATCAAACAATAAGCTCGCATCCTCTGCATAAATAAAAAATTGAGTTGAGTGATTAATATTTACAATATCATTTATATATACATTAAATAAGAAATGCTTCCATGGGGAACCCAGGGAAGCATTCTCATCAATCGGTTCTATTTCAGATGAGTGGCCGTTTATATGAACATACTGTCTGCGGGAAGATAAATATGAACATAGAAGTTTTGATACATGACCATGAAATCCATAAGAAGTAGCAAATTATGATCTAGATCAGGGGTGGCCAGGCTGGCCAGTCCTAAGAGCCGCACGCAAAACCACAAAATTTCCAAGAGCCGCGGGGGGAGGGGGGGGGGGGTGCAAACTTTTGTTTAGATTTGAGAGCAATGCATGAAACTCGGATTACTTTCAATCTATTCGAGTCAAAAGCAGTCCAACTGTACGTAAGGCACAAGACTACCAAACCACAACCTGTGTTTTGATTTAAAACGCGCTTCGTTTTTCTGTTTGGAGAAGCGCTCGTGTGAGCGGAAGGTAGGCGGCGCAGTGTGTGTGTGGGGAGGGGGGGAGGAGGGAGGGGAGGGAGCCACGAGCCGCACTTTAACACGCGAAGAGCCGCATGCGGCTCGCAAGGCGCAGCTTGGCCACCCCTGATCTAGATAGTCAAACGCTTTAGTAAAGTCTACAAATAAGCCGAGAGTGAGTTTCCTTTTTTCAAAATTTCTAAGTATATGTTCTTTTTTGCACAAGGAGAGCCAGTTTTGTGGATCAATGTTTTCGAATACCAAACTGCGACAGGCTAATTAAGTCATGATTATCAGCAAATGTTGTCATTCGAAGTAGTATAACTTTTTCTAAACCCTTAGAGCAAACAGAGAGAATTGAAACAGGTCGATAATTGCCCAGTTTGTTTTTATTTCCTTTTTTTATATAAAACGGTTACCTTCGCTAGTTGCATTTGACGAGGAAATACACCGTTTATGAAACAGAGATTGAATATGAAGAGAAATAAGATCAATTACATATTTAGCTGGTTTGATCTGCGATCCGTCGGAGTCGCAACTTTTGCTATTTTTTAGTACATTAAAGACAGATATTACCTCTGAAGCCGTAACAGGCATAAGAAACATGGATTGATTATTTCGAGCATTGTTATGTTCACAAACATCTGACTCAGGATGCTCTTTAACTAGACTTGCATAATAGTCATTAAACACATTTAAAAATGCTTGTCCTGACAGCTCTTGACCATTGTGGTTGATCTTTAAAACTTGTTTCGTGGCGCATGAACGACCCAAAACAGAGTCGTTTTTTCCACACAACGTCGACTCTGTTGCTACGCAAAAGAAAAAAAGTCACAAAAATAATTTTCATAGCATTTTGGAGTTCTTTGTTCAATTGGTTTCAATAACATTTAAATACTGTTAGTTGTTCAAATGATTTTGTTTTTACAAACTTTTGATATAACCCATTTTAGTATGAATTTTTGTGAGCAATTGTTTTGTAATCCGTGGTTTACGACTTTTTCTATGTGTGTTTCATTTTTTATACGGTAAGCAGCTTTCATATATATTTTTTTTTAATTTGTTCAAGAACAAATCATATCCTTTATCTGCGTTCATTTCATGAAGGACATTGTCCCCATCCAGACAAGATAGTTTTGGTCTGAATTCATTCATGTTGTCAGGCGTTATATTCTGAAACTCTATAACTAACTGATCATTATATTTTATGTTTATAGTTTGCTTTTTCTTTATACACAAAAATATACCCAATTGATAGCTTATATTATCTATCACTACGCCAGATTTGATATATGATGTATCGTAGCTTGTAATAAATAAATCCAATAAATCGACGATTCCGTTGTAATTCTTGTAGCAGTATTTATCATATTTTCACATTTGTTCAATCTAATTAATGCATCAAATTGTAATTTACATGTCGCATCAAGTAGCATATTAACATTAAAATTGCCTCCCAAGATTACGTTGTATTTATTTTCATTCGCAAACTCGAGAAAAGACTCGAAGTAAGCAAAAAAGGAAGAGAAGTTCCCACTTGGCGGGCGATAACAGTCAGCTATAACGCTCTTTCCTATCAGTAAAGACAGCATCCCGTAGTCTTTGTGAACGCAGCATCTCACAGGAAATGTCAGCCTTTACTATTAGGGCAACGCTTTTGCCACGACATTCTGTGCGGTTTAAAAAGTAACTTGTACATTGGTAAGTTTAAAACGCTAGTATTATCCATAAACCACGTCTCTGAAAGTATAATTATATCAGACGAAAATTCGGACTGATAAAAAAATAATTCAAGCTCGTCTGTTTTATTTTGCGCTGATTGAGCGTTCATATGAAAGCATTTAAGAGAATCGATATACCCGTTTCCTAAATAAGATTTCACATTCGAAGGAAGAAAATAATCACGACATAAAGTTCTGTTTTTTGAATAAACTATCCGTGCCATCCATTTAAAAAGGCCTTGAAGCTTCAAGGAAAAATGCAAACTTCATGGGAAAGACCCAATTGGTTTTATTGCGGCATAATGTGGAAAACAGGCATTGGAGAAGTTGGATGTATTTTTCCTTGAAATTTTTAATGCAGTGTTAGACTAGCAATGCATTCTGCTCATCCAGAGCTTTGCCCAGGTGCTATCTATCTGAATGACAGGATGCCATTTGACTGTCACTCCATATACCTGATATGACACTGACATGATGTCACTTGACTGGCATGCCATACCCCAGTGGCTCTCAAATGGGGTCGACGGATCCTTTGGGGTCCCTGAAGGCTTTTTGGGGTCCCCTAAGCCCTTGACCATGTCAAGCGGAGCAAAAAAAACTTTTTTTATTGATGCTGGTTGTACCACAAAACCAAATAGACTAAACCAGTAGTGATGAGTGGGGGGGTTGATTATTTTTCTTTTCGGAGCTTCAAAGTTGGTTTGCGTAAATTTAGTTTCCTTAATTTACTCCTTTGTCATGGTAATCGTTCAATCCCCCCTTGCCCCCTCTTCTCCACCAAAGTGGATGGGGTTTCCCATCACTTCTTTGGCTCCTGAAGGGGTCCCTGAAACTTCAGTAGTTCAGAACCACTGTCATACACCATACCATGAAATACACCAGGGGTTGGCAACCCATTGTTTGTTTGTTTTATGTTTATTTCTTGATGCCCATCAACAGCAACATGTCTTCTTAGTGGTGCATTGCAATGCAGACGAAAAAAGAAACATGCACACACATCAAATGCCGTAACGTTATACACAAAAAATACCAAATTAAAAAAAAAAAAAAAAAGATGAATTGTTGCAAACTGGAGGTGTGGGGGGCCGGCTGGAAAACTATGCTGAAGGGGTATCGGCCAATAGAAATGAAAGGTAAAGAAACTGCCACAAGCTCAAAGTGATGCACAGATGTTTTGGGGATTTAGGCACATGTGGGATTGCTCAAACTGCCTCTATAAGATTTTTGATGTTCAATATAGTATCCAAGATATTAACATTCAAATCAAAGCACCGAACAGAGTCGTAAAACTTTTTGGCGGTGCTCATCCCTCATTTGCAAATGGACGTTAGATTTTACAGTCTTCATTTTCGAAAAGTATGTTCACAGTTATACCATAGCCTCCTCTATACTGACGAAGCCAGGCAGATTGCCACGAGACGTGGCCGCCGAAAGTGGAAAGGTAGAGCGGCAGACAACGGATCAGAGGAGAGTCATGTAACGGACTGCGGCGAGAAGCCGAAACACGCTTCTCCCGAGTAACAGAATGTCCACTCATGCCCCTCGCGTTCCTTGCACTACTGCTTCTTTTCTCATCATGTTTGAAAGTCATGTTTCGGGTCCTCGACACTGCAAACGCTGTGCACTGAATAGCAGGTTTCCCGACAAATGCTCTCTGCTACCAGATTTTTGCACTCCAAATCTGCGACCGGGCACTCTATGGCTCCGTCGTCTAACTGCTAGGCTTTGTGAGTGTAGAGGAGGATATCGTTATACATACTATAACGATCACTGCAATTAAGGCTGCTGCAAGCTTTCCTAGATTTGAAAACTTTGATTCAGGGGAACGAGCATAAAACTTGATGAGGTTGTTTGGTGTGAATGCATAGTTGAACTTATTGTGTGCATGGTGATCAGCTGATCAGCAAACTGTCCGGTGAATCTCTAGAACTTGAGAACTTGACCGAGGTTGGCCTTAAATAGATTAATGAAAATGTGGACGTCGATCAAGTATTTCTGGAAATCAGCAAACAATTGACTTCCAACTCCCTGGCCAGATCATGTAATGTCTTGCGAAACTTTCTTTGTGGAAAAATGAGATCATATTTCCAACCGAAATTTTTCAAATTCAAAATATTTCTTGTTTGTAGAATTTTGGGAACAGCTCGAGCTTCAGCTCAAAAACATTTACATCAGAAAGCGTCCCTGCCATGAGTTTCCCTTCGCTTTGTAATGTAACATTCAGGTCATTAGGTGTCAAAATGTCCCTGTAATTCTAAGTCACGTGCCTATTCAGAGTAAAGGAGATCCTGCATATTCCACAAATAAAAAATTGCTATCTCTTCAAGGAGCTAAGAAAAAAGACAACGGATCTTGCATTCCTTATCCATCAAACCTCTGTGGAGTGCTGGTCTTCCCCATGCGAAGCTTCCATGCACAATAAAAATTGTTTAACTTAACAATGTGATTCCAAATAGAATTCATACTAGATATGATGACTTTAATTATTCATACCCAATTCATCATATTGATATGCAACAATTGCTGATAGATAATATGAATAGGAAACTATAACTCCCAGGTGTGCCATTTCAGAGTTTACATGAAGGTTCGAAAACACTGCGCTTGGTTAGGAAGTGACGTAAAAGACAAAATTACATGCTGTAACAAATTTAATGATCAGCTTACCAACTTTTCGGGGCTAGTTTGTTTTCTTGTGTGTGAGCGACTGTGATATATTTTCATTGGTGAGCTCTAATTAAAGACTTGCCTGCTAATTAAAGGCTAGCTAGGGACTGAACTGGTCCTGAAACGTTTTCTCATTAGAGGTTGTAATGTTAGTCTTTTGCAATTTCTGAGTTAATAGTACAGCTGATTGCACCAGGTTTGCAGCCAACCATGGTATTTAATATGCTGTTAGTATTGTTGGGGGGATGGGTGGGGGAGTCTTCTCTGGTGACGTGCAGGGTGCCGCATAATATTGCCTGGCAGACTAGGTCTGGCCTGTGGGCTGGCAGTTGCCAAGCTCTGTCGGATACCATCAGATGTTCCACTTCCATATGCCTGATGATATGTGTGTGTAAGTGGGATACACTCAAACCACATTCACATGGGAAGGAATCAAAAAGATCTCAAAGTGTCGGGGTTCTTGCCTAAGCCATCTTCTGTGCTGGTGCCTTTCCCTAACCAGGCAGCGAGCTGCCTAGTGTTTACTTTCATTCCGATTTCAATTGCAGATGCACCCCCCCACACCTGGAGGAGCAGCAGGTGGCAGTAGCTCCTCTGTACGTTGATTCTTTCCATTTCATGCTAACGATACTCTTCAGCTAGGTACAGCTGCAAGGCCATTTGTTGTGGTGGAAAGACAACCGTGTTGGTGCCTCAGGCAGAGCTGTGTGTTCCCCTCAAGCGGCACGAACTTGAACAAGAAAAGTGACGTGTGCAAGTATTCCGGTTTCAGAATATCAGGTTCAAATACATATTTTCCCATTTACTTGACTAGTGTTCTTTATTTGCTCAACCTTGCCACTCCCATTGCAATGTCACGGTAAAAGTAAATCCTTGTTAATAGCTTTTTTTTTTGTCCATGTCAAAGGGGCTTTGTAATTATATTTATGCATCAACCTTTTTTGCGGTTTCCACGTCTTTTGGGGTTTAGGCAATCCCAGCGGGCACGGAGGGAGCAACTTAAAGGGATACTTCAACGAAATTTGAAATATTCCCGTCGTATTCAAAAATAGGTTGAATATGATCCATATTATCCGTAAATGACAATCGCACGTTTGTATTTTGAGCCTGGTGGCTGTATTTTTCGTTATAAACGGCCCACTTTGGCAAGCGCTCGGAGAAGGCCCAGCGGAGACCACGTGACATCCAACGCAATCGTGACGTATGTCGTCTCAAGACGAGCAAAGCCACGGCGAGGTTGACGTCGAGAGGATGGCCTAGTCGTTCCAGCCACCGAAGCGGCTGCTTTTGTACAAATTTTGAGTGACGGGTTAATCTTCTATAATCTTGTAGGGGGACAATAGCGACTTCTGCGACACACAAAAGGCATTCTCGGGAAGAGGGGAGTTCCTCCTGCCCCTCTTCTCTTGTCGTGGCCGGATTCGAGACAACCTCCGTCACTAGCTGCCAAGGTTGCTAGACGGGCATTACAAGCGAGGCGTTAGCGACATCCACCAGGTGCTCTTTGCTAATCGTTTAATTCGTTTTAAAATTCCTTTTCGTGACATTTTTAACGAGATATTGGTATGTTCGATTTGATGGTGCTTTTTTGAACACATATAGACCAAAAAATGAGCGCCGAAATTTCGTTGTAGTATCCCTTTAATATCGGTGCATCATATTTTAACCGGACGACGCGGAAACCTCTTCCACCTACGGGGGCGACCCGCGGTGCCGAAAGCGCGCTAAATGTGAAGTCATTGGTCCTGGGCTTACTACTGGTCAGAGCAGCTAAAAGCTCCTTTTAGTCGAAATACAAACTATAAGTGGTGCAAACCGTTTCAGTTATTTATAAAAGTAGTTTTTGTTCAGTATTTTAGATTGGAAAAGAAACAAATGCTGTATATAAAGTACGGAAACAAGAAATGACTCGTCGACATACCCGCCACCAAGTGGTGGAAAAGGCGGCGCATACTAGAAAGGGTGGTGGGATCAGGCACCAACGAGTGGCGAGAGTCGAACGTTCCCGGATGTTTGCGGCGGTGCTGCGGTCATATACAGACTCGAGGATACGACCGGTTCTGAGCATTCTGAAGGCCTTCGGCGAGAAGGTTTGGCTTGCGGTTTGGCTGTTTGGCGGTATAGCAGCGCGTAGTGGCTCATGTTCTGAATTGACCTTTACGCCATGTTTGCTTTTGTTTGTGGGCAATGAAGTGTCATGCCGAATTAGTGTTTAATCGCGTAGCAAATGCAATGCAAGCCGCCCTGGCTGCTCGCTTCATACAGCCTATTCAGAACATGCTTTAAGGGGAGGCACGGCCTAAAAATCGCAAGTTTTGCGAAAAAAACGCGTTTTTGAAAATCAGTTTTATCATCATCTACAACTAATAAAGAATGCTCTCACAAACTTTTATACTCGTGCGTAAGGGATTTACTCCGGAATAAATTATTTTCGATACGTCGGCGGCCACGCGCGCTCGCCAGAAACTCGAGCACACCCGCGCGTTTGCCGATTTCAAAGCGCGCTAGCCGCTCGTTGGCTAGGCCTAGCGTGGCGTGGGACCCCCCATTGGAAACAGCAGTTCTTTCTCTTTTGTTTACGCCCCGGCTTTTCGTTCAACGCCGGACATTCAGGCGAGAGAACCCCCGCGAAAACATCATTCAGAAAGAGCTATGAAACGCTCTAAGGGCTCCTATTGGGCAGCTCGACGCATTCGGAGTTCTGATTCGCTCGGACACGCCACGTGACTAAAAAGAGACTCGCTCGCCCGCGTGAACGCTTGTTTCGTTTTCTACCTGCGTAGCGCGCGCGCTCTTGCTTTTTTTACGGTCTTCGAGTTTATCGATACGATGCCGGCGGTGAATGGCAGGAAATCGTTTACGTTTGGTGCTCGGAAGCGTAAGCGTGGAAAACCGAGAGGCATTGAAGGAGGTCGACCTCGCAAAACCGCTGCACCGCTGTCCCCGAGTCGCCCGGAGTCGTCGGAACAATCACCGTCTTCAAGCCCGTCACCGTCTCCTGGCCCATCGCCGCCTGAAGACTTGGACTTGGACTGTGTGGGACAATCGAGGCTTCTGTCGCCGCTTCCAACTCCTGACACCCCAAAGGAAGATGAGCTGACCGCGATTGAGCGCAAGATGGAAATGCTACGACGGGACGAGTGCTCCGGAGAGCCGCTAGGCCTAGATGGGAGCCGTGACAGCGGCGAACTCGAAGGCTACCGCTTGCTCGAAGTTTCTTGTGTCAAGGCTTTGGTGGGAGCTCTGCTGTGCCCAGAGTGTGCCGGGTCTTGCCTGGAGCTAAAGGAAAGTGGCCAAGGAGCGCTCCTCGGGTTTATCGTCGAGTGCCCGTCGTGTGGAGAGGTGGCGAGCGCACCGCACTCGTCGAACATCGGCGACACTCGCCAGAATGAACTTTCCGCGCGTATCGGACTAGCCGCACGCGACTGCGGCATTGGTTTCACCAAGTTGTCCAACCTCTTTTCTGGCATGAACGTACCTCCACCGATGTGCCTGAAGTCTTCGCAGAAGATAGCATCAAAAGTGCATGACGCAGCTACGAAGGCCGCCAGCAAAGTGATGCAGAGCGCGGCGCAGTCCATACGTCAAGCAGAGAAGTCCGGAGACGACAAACTTTTGGACGTGTGCATTTCGTACGACGGGACTTGGCATAAGCGTGGCCACACCTCCCACTTTGGTGTTGGCGTGGCAGTGGAACTGAACAGCGGCCTGGTGATAGACTACACTGTACAGAGCAACTACTGCCAGGTGTGCGCTCAAGGCCCAAAGCCAGGGTCTCAGGAATATGAAGAATGGTTTGAAAGCCACAGCCCTGACTGTCAAAAGAATTTCCAGGGGTCTGCTCATGCCATGGAAGTGGAAGCTGCTTCAGTCATTTTTGGGCGTTCTGTGGAGCGACACAACATGCAGTATACCACGGTACTCTGCGACGGTGACAGCAAAGCGTTTTCAAAGGTTGCTAGCCTTGGTCTATACGACAAGGAAGTGAAGAAAGAGGATTGCATCAACCACGTTGCAAAGCGTATGTATGCTGGCCTGGATGCTCTGAAGAAGGCAAAGAAAGGCCTTGGTGGAAAGGGCAAGCTGACGAACGTGAGGATGAAGCAGCTGACAAATTACTATGCCTGCGCCCTGAAGGACAATGCCCCAGATGTCCCAGCGATGCAGCGGGGGGTGTTTGCCACACTCCTGCACTCTTACTCGACAGACGACGAGCCACGACACACAGCTTGCCCCACTGGAAGAGACTCCTGGTGCCACTTCAACAGGAGCAAGGCACTTGAGGCTGCAGGAGAGCCACCTGCGTCCAGGCCCCACAAGCCAGCCTTTTCCAGGGAGTTAGCCAAGGAGCTGGTGCCCGTCTACAATCGCCTTTCGCGTAGAGACTTGCTCGAGCGCTGTTCGAGGATGAAAACTCAGAATGCAAATGAATCGTTTAATTCTCTAGTGTGGAAGAGGTGCCCCAAGGTGGAATTTGCCTCCCTCAAGACCGTCGAGTCAGCTGTGGCTCTGGCAGTCCTCGAATTTAACCTGGGATCTCGAGGCTTTGAGCATGCCCTTTCCGAGATGGGAATCAAGCCAGGGAGCCATCACACCGTGCATGCTGCGAAGGCCACCCGAAAGAAGATCGGAAAGGCCCAAAAAAAGGAACTAGAGTCGTCCAAAGCGTCGCACAAGCGGAGAAAGATGGAAGCCGTGGCTAAGGCGCAGAAGGACCGTGAAGAGGAAGGACTTACCTATGGCCCTGGAGCGTTTTAAGTGATATACTAAGCACTGTTTTCAGCCGAACACTGTTTGAACTTTCAAACACATTTTTCTCAGTTTGTCATTTTGAACACTTTTCCATTTTTGAAAAACTATCATTTTTTAGAGTTTGGACTGAGACTCCTGAAGTGTTGTTTTTCTGGAGTGAAATTGACTGAAGAATTTAGTAAGGCACTTTGTTTTTAATAATTTTGAGTTGTTCACCAAGAAAAAGTTGATTTTAGAAAAAGTCATATGAGAGAAAAATGAAGCCATTTTTAAATTTCCTGTTTTCATGCTGATGCTTGCTATATTAAATATTGCTACATACCTTACTTTGTTCATCACTTATTGAACATTACATATATGCAAAAAAAGTTGGAATTTTTCTCTTTTTTTTTGAATGATAGATTTTTTTCGTTGGTGCTGCATCAGTCTTCTTTTTTATAACAAATTGCACCGTAACTTGGCAAAAAATCTTCCCTGTTGGTTGAAATTTTGCATGCCCTCCCAAGTTTGCATAACTAACATATGGTAAAAGTTTCACTGCAATCGGCAAACTATTAAAAAAGTAGACCCCTGTAGGCCGTGCCTCCCCTTAATGGCGCCCTTTTGAGACGTTGACACGGAGTGCGACAGCCTTGACTGCTTGCTGAGCTCACTACCCCTCCTCTAATTCATGGCCACTCAAGCGACTAAGTGCGTTATGAAGGAGGTTATTTTTTTGCTTGTTTTTGTAATCTTAGTTGGCCTATAACTTTTAAAATAAAGCGAAATTCGAGAAAAGAAAAGTTTCATTAAATTACTATGTTCAGTGCGCTCAGTTTCGGTGCAAATTAAAAACGAGTAAAAAAGTCCTTGCAGCGCCCCTTTAAAGGGACATTGACAGGGTATTTATGGTGGCTAAGGTTTTTATTTGTACATGACATATGAGAGCCCAACTACATAAACACAGTTTGTGGCTTTAAACACAGTTTGTGGCTTTAAATTAATTTTTTTCCCACCTGAAAACCGCCGATTGAGAACTGGCCGGTTTGAGTCACGCTCACCCTCTCCATGGTCACGTG